AGGGATCTTGGTGTAATAGTCGATCAGTCTCTAAAGCCATCCAAGCAGTGTGCTGTTGCTAGTGGTAGGGCAAATACAATTTTAGGTTGTATCTACAGAAATATTGAATACAAGTCTAAAGAGGTTATAGTTTTATTGTACAGGTCACTAATTAGGCTACATTTGGAGTATTGTGTTCAATCTTGGGCTCCTTTCCTTAGAAAAGACATTGAATTGTTGTAAAGGGTTCAGAGAAGAGTTACTAGAATGGTGCCTGGGATGTGGGGGTTGTCATACGAGGTGAGGTTGAAATCTCTCAAATTGTTTTCTCTTGAAAAAGAAGAGTTAGGGAGGATCTGATTGAGGTGTTTAAGATTGTAAAGTGAATTGATACTGTTGATGCATCATCTTTTTCATATGTAACAGTGAAAATAGTAGGACTAGGGGACACAAATATAAATTTTGGCAAGGTAGGAGTCATCTTCAGGTAAGATGGTTTCATTTTTTCTAACAGGGTGATTGGCTTTTGGAATGTGTTGCCTTCAGATGTTGTAGAGGCACCAAATTTAAGTGAGTTTAATAAAGAACTTGATAAGTATGGGAAAGATGAGGACTGGCTTTAAGATTTTGTATTGTAATTTAGTTTAGGTGATGGAACAGCCGAGATGGACCAATAGGTCCCATATTGTCCCAAAACATTGTTATTTTGAGATAAAGTACGTAAATTATTTAAAGGTGATGTAGAAAAAATAGATGGATGATTGTTTTATTATTTGGAACAAAATTGTGATCTTGAAATTATCTTTCAGATTTTAAATGGATTAAATGAAACAATCAAACTGGCATATGAGTATAGTGGAAATATCATATCATTCTTGGATATTTTTGTAGTGTTTAAAGAAAAGTATAAAGTTGTGACTGGTGTATATTATAAGCCAATGAATTTACATAAATATTTAAATTTGTTTTAGCAGACATCCTAAGTCAGTAAAATTTACTCTGGCACTAACATTATGTACATTAATATCTAACTTGGAGGTTAGACACATTAGATTAACCCTTTTGGAAGGCCATGTCGTCTTGTTTGTTGACTTGCATTCAAAATTTTATTGA